ACTAAAACTGAACGAGTACTTTTTGTTGTTGTTGTTGTTGTTACTATTTTCTTACTTAATTTCTTCTCTTTTTATGTTAATACGCATGAGAGACAGGCAGATGTGGATGGATACAGGGAGATAGACACTGTGTGTGTGTGAGAGAGAGAGAGAGATGAGAGGTGAAATAGTTAATAGGTAGGAAAGAGCATTCACCGTTCATTTATTTAATGACTATAAGAAACTAAATACGAATCGACATCGTTTTGAAAAAGCATTGTAGTATTGAATGGCTGTGGTTCGTCCTTATTCAGAACTCTTCAAAAGTAAGTACCCATTGAGGTTCGAATTTAATACCTATAGGTTACGAGTGGTTGCACCACAGGATGATACTGCATGCTGGTCTCGTCTCCCAAGAGTCAGGGATGGGTGTGTTTGGTTCTCCTGAAAACCAATATCCAGTCAATGGGTGTACCATTGTGTGTGTGTGTGTGCGTCGGTGGCACAGCGATTAGGATGCTCGCCGACTATGCACATGGTCCGGAGTTCGATCCCCATGCAACTGGACGCACTCCTTTAACTCGCTAAGCCAGATATAATGTTGCTAAAGAGGAAAGGTTGGGCATGAGGTGGCTAGCAACCCATCCTGTAAAAGTAATCACCACTGCTACAGAAACTTCAAGTCTCTAGCTTGAAGCCCTATGTTCCACTGGGACCCAATCCAGTCATCCGTCAATTCCGACCTCTGCCAATCCACGATAGATAAATATATATATATATATATATATCAAGTAGTGGTTTTGTAGGGATTTCTTTTGTTTGATTGGTTGGACGGTTTCACCATGAGCTGACATCAGTTACAGAATCATCGGAAAATCAACCGGAAGTACTGGTTCTCTAAGTGATGTCAGTTCAAGATGAAATCCTCCAAACAATCAAACAAAATAAATCCCTACAAAACCAATACTTGAAAATTCATCTGATGCTCACTAGCTACTGACTGGCCCTATTCAGGCAGTCAACCTGAACTTCTAGTGAGAAGCCATGACAAGTAGGGTGCTGCAGGTTAAAGGTGAGGCAGTAACTCATCGAAGAAGATATTGCAAAGTGGTCGCTCTATGTCGTGCATGAATTGGCAGAAGTTAGAGTTCATCGACTGGCTGGCCATTAGATCGGTTGGTTCCGGGTGAGTGGCTTAACAGTCTACGAGCTCGCTGGCATTGTAACCAGAAGGTGCTGGGTTCAAAATCTGGCGACGGATGCTTACTGTGATAAGTCACGAACTTGGCTTACGAAGCAGCTGTCCAGTACTCTCTACAGATCTTCTAATGGTTCTCTAACTGATATCAGCTCATGATAAAATCCTCCAACCCATCAGATAAATATATATATATATATGGAGCGACCGCTAGCCAGTTTAACTGCTGAATAACTATTTTCTTACTGGGTGTTTTGGATCATGCTGGTCACGATTTCTTACTACACTTCCTCTGGAATGCCTCCCAGTAGCTGAATTGTCTACCAGCTTGTCTCGTAACCAGGAGTTTCTCAGTTCGAACCCTAGTGGTGGTAGTGAATATTGCCGAGGAGTCCCAAACTAGAAACAAACAAGTGTCCAGCACTTCCTGCTGGTCCTTCAGTGGTTCTTCAGATGATTTCATCTCGTAACTGAACCCGTAACTAAATCAAATTACAACATTTGAAGATTCTCAAGTATTGGTTAGCAGGGACTCGATAGGATTCACGTTAGACAACAATCTGACTGACCTTAGTTATTGAAGGACTGAATAACCCCTGAGAGTACTAAAAAGCTGTTTCATCCTTGTTTTGGACTCTTTGACAGTACTCATATTTCAACACACCGATAGGGGTTGAATCAAAAATCTTCCGCCTACAAGAAGAACAAATATATCATCTAGTCAGTGAGACGGAATTCGTGATACATAGCGCAACCACTAACCTATGTCATCGGTGAGTATTTTTCATCACACATTCGGCATGTCGACTCAGAAGCTTAGGATTTTTTACAAGAACTCACATCATTTTCCTAAATCACTCACTAGTTGGCCCTAGATTAGTTTTCAGGTGTTGGTTTGCAGATTTTGGTTTTGATGATCAATCTTATTATTTATTGTATCCTTTAGTTCCTAGAGGAACATAGGGCTTCAGCTGCGCACCTCCATTGACTTCGGTTTTCTGACAACTTTTTCAACCTGCTCCAGGTCTGTCCACATGCTTTCATCTCCTCCTCGCATGACCTCCTCCAAGTCACCCTTGCATTGACGACCAACTCGCCGCCTCCCTTTCGGGTTCCACTCGAGGGCTTGTCTAGTGATGTCACTTGATGGTTTCCTCAGCGTATGGCCAATCCATCTCCATTTCTTCCTGCCTATTTGTTTCACAATCGGTTCCTGCTGTGTTGGTTCGCTCATTGCCAGAGATCCCTGTTGCTGATCTTTTCTGGCCATCTGATCTTGAGTATTGAGCGGAGACAGTTGTTAATGAAGGTTTGAAGTTTGTTTGAGATGCTCTTTATGACGCGCTGGCCAAGTCTCTGATCCGTATAGTAGCAGTGACTTCACATTTGAGTTGAAAATCCGGATCTTATTTTTGATGCTGATTGCTGTTGACCTCCACACAGATTTGAGAGGTTAGGTTAGCACATTTTGAGAAAGATTGAGAATTAGTCCCTCGATATGAAACTCTGCGGTAAAATGCACTGTTGACCCCAACCCATCAGGGAACGAATCAAAGACCTTTAAGTTATGAGGACAGATAAGTTATATATGTATGTCATTTTGGAATGTGACACCACTACTCTTCAATGCCTTCATAATCTACCCGATGAGACTAAGTCAAAAATTTTGGGATATACTCATCTTTAATCTGCTACTCCCTAATGAGGACCTCACTAACCCAAAGGGTGTTTTATGACACCAGTTAATAATCACTTACGTTTTTCGAATTTATTTACGAACATACACACATATTCATATCAAGGGCTTATGAAATGCAATTTGTGAAAGTTTGTCAAGTGTACCAAATCAGAAATATGTATATAAATACTTCAAAAGAATGGATACTGAACAAAGAGTACTCTTTTAGATAACCCCTTTATCATCAGGCTGTACAGTTATACATGTACATTATAGTGAATAAATGAATTAGTGTTATGAACTACATTAATGTTGTTTAAATAATATCGAATCAATAATATTGATAGATTACAGCTCAATAGCATCAACATAAAATAAGCTGAATGTCAGAAAAATTAAGAAAGATAATATTACAAATTCATGAGTTTATAGTTTCTATTGAAGGCTGACCAGGGCAGTAGTAGGGACTGGACTTTCTTCATTGGAGCACAGGGCACTGGTTGTTTGCGAATTGTAGTAGCCTCTGCTGTTTGGAGCTTGTTGTGCTATGATGATTTTGGCAATTTATTAGGCACCTGGTGGCCGGCTTGCACCAGATGGTCCAATAACGAATTGTTAATGGTTTTAACTACACCTTTACTTAGCCATAGTGGGATATGTTCTCGAGCGAGCACGAAAAATCAAGTTCCTAGAGCAACGACCAATATAACTCGCTCCAGCATAGGTGCAGTTGAATTGGTAGATATAATTTGAAGTGGCTAGTCTAGGTACTTCATCTTTCAGTCGAGGTAGCACCATATGCGCTAGGCCCCAGTGGCCTAACTGTCTACGAGCTCGCTCACCTTGTAACTAAAAGGTCCTGGATTCGAGCTCCTTGTGTACAGGGCTAAAATGTTCACCAAACAAGCAGGTAGTTCAGGGTTCGGTACCCGGTCAACGCGCTCCTTTACCTCGCCAACCTAGTAGTAAGACTGGTAAAGAGGAAAGGTTGCGCATGAGACTAACGAACTCAATCCCGTAAAAATAAATACCACTGCTACTGAAAATTCAAAACTCTAGCTTGAAGGCACCTTATGTTCCATTGGGAAGGAAAAGGACATTTTGGTAAAGATTACTACTTTCTGATGTCGGAAAGTTTTCCACCAAGACAAACTATCCGTATTAAACAGCCCTTCGTTTACACAAAGCCTCAAGAACAATACTTTGAAATTTCAGCAGCAAAGTTGAGTTGTTAGCCTCACCCGCAATCTTCCCTCTTTCCCTGAGTCTACCTCGAGTCTGATAAACTAGGAGAGGTTAAAGAGTGCCTCCATCGGTAAGGAATCGAATCCGGACCATAAACGTGTAAGGCTGGTGAATCAACTGAAAACAGACTAACTGAAATAATAGTTGTTAGGATAGATAAGCTTCTTTGCTAGCCGTGAAGTCGTCATTTATGCCGAATACTGACACGATCACCTTATTGAACAGTTTTGATTGGTTTATTTATGGCTTAAATTTCTGACGTTCTGTACCTATGATATATTTCACATATTTCGTCTAATTAAGGTTGTCGCTTTACCCAGTGTGACTTTTGTGTGGAGGATATTTTCAAATGATCACTTAGTTGTAAAGTCGTGGTGTTCTGGAGACACCGTCTAGTCAAGTTACACGAAAGTCGTCAATCAATAACACATTGTTATAACAGTTATAATCATAATAACACCTCCATTTTGGAGAAAAAATGTGTTTACACACACACACACATAAATACAGAATACCTAGCCAGAATCTCCAAGCAAAACAGAAATCTATGTTGAGTATATATATCATGTGACGCAATGCCATTCGATCTAAAGCAGCAATCAACTAATCCCTTCAAACATATTTTTCCTTCCTTTCCTTGAAGAAAGCCACTTGAAAAATATGAGTGAGTATATTTCACGACTCAAAAATAATAATTTAAAAAATGGAGAGAAAATCTGACACATGATATTTGAATTGGACGGTTATAAAATTGAGGTTGTCCATTAATTTGAAAAGACCGCTCGTTTTTTTGTTGTTGAAAATTTTTGAATTCATTTAAAGACATACAGATTTCTCAATGTTCCAATAACTATTTATTCCCTGTTTTATTTCTCCTTTCTTTTTACTTTGAAATATTAGAAAAACCACAAATTATTGAAGAACCAAAATCAGCAACAACTATTGTTGGTCAATCTGTTCTATTTGTCTGCCTTGTTGATGGAAATCCAGCGCCAAAAGTTCATTGGAAGGTAATTTCGATAAATATATATATACACATATATTGTTGTTGATGCTGTTGTTGTGTGAAAGTGTAAACTGATAGTTAGCGAAGAACCAGTGGACAGATGTTTCGTCATAGCCATCGGACTCTTTTGCAGTACTCACTCACCACTAAGGTCCGAACCTAGGATCCTCCGGAAACGAAGAGAACTCATAGACGATTCAACCACTTAGAAGTGATCCGATGGCCGGCATATGAATCGAGACCTCTGCTAAATCGTGATATATATGTATATATATATATATAACCTTCCATGATGGAAAACATATTCCGATGACATGGACCTCAACAGTTGTCATTCCATATAGAGCAGAAACGTTAGATGATATCAGTAGAGTACTCAATAAGCACGACATCAGAGTTTTTTCAAAACATCAGACACGCACAGTACAAAGCAGCCTGGTACACGTAAATGACCAGATCCCTAAAGATTCTCAATCTAATTGTGTCTATAAAATAAAACGCTTGGAATATGGTACGATATACATCGGGCAAACATTGCTAGAGAGAAATCAAAATCAGAAGAAATGAACACCGTACAGTTGCATCTATTCGACCAGCGAGAAATCCAGTTAGTGAGCTAGAAAAGCTTGAAAAATCATCAGCCATAAGTCTACATGCCAAGCTACAAAATCAGGCCACAAAACTGTTTTTGACAATATTGAAATCATCATCCAGAAAAATTTTAAAAATCACAAAGAATGTCTAATATCATCAGAAGCACTTCATATCACTAACTGGAATCTTTATTTTCAAGTATTGGTTTTGTAGGGATTTGGTTTGATTGTATGGAGGATTTAATCATGAGCTGACATCAGTTAGAGAACCACTGGAAAACCTGCAGGGAGTACTGGACAGCTATTTCACCCTAGTCTGGGACTCCTCAGCAGTACGCACCCACCGGGGTTCGAACCCAGGACCTTCTGGTTACAAGGCTAGCGAGCTCGTAGACCATTGAGCCACTGGGACCCGATCCAATGGTTCTTGAGTTCTAACTTCTGCCAAATCACGACATAGCGCGACCACTTCGCAATGTCTTCTTCGATGAGTTACTGCCTCATCATCGACCTACTGTACCCTACTGGTCACGGCTTCCCACTAGAACCCCAGGTCAACTGCCTGAATAGGGCCAGTTGCTAGTGAGCACCAGATTAATTTTCAAGTATTAGTTTTGTAGGGATTTTGTTTGATTGTATGGAGGATATAATCATGAGCTGACATCAGTTAGAGAACCACTGGAAAACCTGCAGGGAGTACTGGAATCTTTATTGTCTGAATAGGAATGATGGATTAAAACGGAATTGAACCTGGTTACGACACCTCCCCTCCCCCCCCCCATGAAACGACAAAATCAACACGAATGTGATAAGCAATTTCATTATGGAAACATATGCTGCTTTCTATAATTTTATACACTTATCAAATCCAACAATCTACACCTGGTTTTGTTATCTTTACCAATTGGTCAATTTGACAAACACGTAAAAATTACCTCATGCTAAGGAATAATGACTGAGATGTTACATTTTTTTTGATTACAGCTTGATTCCACACACTGTATTTTTGGTACAAGTGTGGAATTTTCAGCGTGGATATCGGTAGCCCGAAATTCGCAGGCCGACCATAGATATCAAGTGTGCGTCGGCGTGGGCTCGAACCCCTGACCATGTGCATGGTCGGCGAGAGTCCTAGCCACTGTGACACCGACGCACATATAGGCTGAATGGATTTTGTAAATTCTAGTTTAATAATACCACCACTTTTATAAAGCTATTAGTAGCAGCATTAAATAGCGAAACGTCAGTAAAAACAACGACAGCATCGTTTTGTTTTTCACTCCTTGTGTGTTGACATAATGAAATTGCCTATCACATTCGTGTTGATTTTGTCATTTCATGGGGGCTGGGATGGGTGTAGTAACCAGGTCAAAATTCTGTTTTAATTCATATCGGATGAATAGCTAAAAATGATAACAGAGAGTGTGTGTAATCACTAAACTGAAATATTGAAGTACCTAAACGAGCCATCATTTCAACTGCTCTCCTAGACAACTAGTTATATTGGCCATTGTTTGGCAATATACCTACCTACCAGTATGGCTAACTAAACGTCAGGTGAAAATAACCAACAGTTCTTCTAAATAAGGTCACCTCATTCAAACAAGCTGTAAAGTTAACATTGAAGCGTCTTTTGTTAATTTATCATCTATCGAATACAGAGAATAAATTACCAAACAAAGGCTTTTAAATACCCGAAAAACACTTCAAACAACAGAAGCTAAAATGGAATTCGCTTGAAACAATCGGAGTTCGATGTTCAAAAGAAACACCTTCAGCCGTCATTGCTGTAACAGGAGAAGACAAAAGGTTTAGTATACACACATTCAGCGAAGTTATGCATACCATGTATTGAAATCTTCATTTATACAGATTTTTCGTGTGTTTCGCCCTGCTCTCTTTGATGTCAAACCTATCTGTCTGCTATTTGATATTGCTGTTCCAATAAACTCCCTTTTAGATACTACTGATAAACATTGTCAGTAATTTACGCCTGGAAGGCATGTCAACTATTTATCTGATATACTCAGTTTTTTTTATTACATTTTTAAACAAGTCACCACTCACAGATGCTTTCAAACAGTGATCCACTGATCTTCATGATTCGAAATTATTTAAAAAAGAACCTTAATTATGGAAATATAACTGTAGAACTAGATAAAGATGCAGTTAACGAAAGAGAAAATGATGGTCTTTGTTCACTGCTAGTAATCAGCCTTTTAAAATATTGATTTTTTAATGCCCTCTTTAATCCAGTAACAACAATCAGATTTCACCGAGTTATTAAAGGCCCACTACTTGGATCAGTGCCTTTGCTTAAAACAGTTGACATTTTGTGTGTGATTACATTTCTACAAACTATTTTTTCATCCCGTTCCCTGTATCTTATATAAGGGATTTATTACTTCTGTGTACTAACAATCTTAGGTTTCCATTTAAAGGCGATTATTTCCACCAAGTTGATGGTGTCGCTATGGGGAGTCCGTTAAGGGTCCCTTTTAGCAGATGTTTATATATGTCGTAAATTAAGAGTTTATCGGATGATTTAATCAAAAATATGCCACTTTATAGAAGGTATGTAGATGATATTGTAATCATCACTGATACGTCTTGTACTGCCACCTCAATTTTAAATCGAATGAATGAAGAAGTTCAGAATAGCGTATCACTCACATCTGTAGACGAGGAAGATAATTGTTTATCTTTCCTAGACATATTGCTTCGTCGACGGCTTGATAAGTCAATGAAGAGATCTTAATTACCACAGTTTCTGCCCTGTTCGGTACAAAAGAGTCTTATTAAGGTGCCTCTTCAGTAGAATCCGACGAATATGCACTGAAGACAGACACACTTGATGAAGAAGAAAGAAGGTTGACACAGACTCTGGTTGATAACAATTATCAAGACAAGTTCATCAGAAAATATGAAGTAGTCAGTGGAACACCAAAACCCACTTTGCAACTCGTCCCTAAGAAACACGCGTACATCAAGCTACCCTATATGGGGCATCAAAGCAGCTTGATAACTAGACAGATATTGAACGCTGCTATTAAAAAGACTTTATATGCAGCTAGTGTCATAATAATAGAGAATTTAAAGCCAATATATGCATCCATCTAAGCCCTTATAACATGCGAAAAATGATATCACATCCCAATGTATTTACCAGTTTGAATGTACGTGTGGACACACGAACATAGGAAGGACTCATCGATCTCTGCAAGTAAGGGCTGGCTTCAAAGCTTATTCCTAAATGGCTCCAGAAGCAAATAGAATCTTCAGAACCCATTAATGGTGAGAACAGGAGACCTAGCTCTTCTACTGCAAAACATATTACAGAGGAGAGAGGGCATAAAATTGACGTTAACAGATCTTTTAAACCTACCTATAAAACGTGTTTGGGGCGTATACTAAAGTTTGTGGAAGCCCCAGCAATTATAAAGTTTAAGCCACCTTTATGCATTCAAAAATAATTCGTCATCACAATAAACTACCTTCCTTTGTTAACTTTGTTTTGATACCATAACAGATGTACTATTACCTCTGTTATTTGGTTTAGTGGTTCTCATTGTTATTTTGACCCTAAATATGTCTTTTTAACTTGACCCAAGTCTATTTTTCTCACCTCTTACCTCTTTATTAATTTCATATATATTCCAATGACAAGTCCGTGTGTGATCAGATTGTTCGAAATGTGTTGCGCAAATACAACAGTACACGATTCAGACAAATTACGTCTTCTTATTGCTTTATCAAAATTATTTTTGTTGTTATTATTATTGGCACATTAGTAAAGGCATTATCTCTCTGTCTCACACTCGCTCGCTCGCTTGATCGCTCAAAAGTTTGTAAATTACCAGTTTCAGACCTGAAAACATATTTTAGGGAAATTTCATGGGTAATCCCTATGCAAGTATTTCTCACGCGGTCGGATTACTCACTGAACCTAGTGATATGAATTTCAAAGTATCCAAACAAGCTGATATATCCGTCTTGACATATTTTAACTAGTACCACATGTGGTGCATGGTTAGATTCTCGGCCGAGGGACTGTTTCCTCAACATCCTTTCATCCAGAAGTAGGCCATGAGACGAGGGGAGGTTTGGCGTGAGGCTAGTAACCCCACCTCGTAAAAATAAATACTGCTCCTACAGAAACTTAGAAGCTCAAGCTTGAAGTCCTGTGTATTCAACATGGAACGCAAAGTAATGAACAAACAAGGTAGGAATGTACTGACCATCCAGAAATCAGATGTAGGTTTCCCACGTGGTTGGTGAACACTCTGTCTTTGAATCACCGACGCCATTTATGACCGTTACCATGTCGCATATAGAGTAAAAACTTTTTATTGGTTAATCTTTCTATTTATTTATATTTTACGAGTTGACAACGGATCGATATCAGTTAGACAACCATTGAAAACCAGCAGAGAGTACTAGACAGCTGTTTCATCAGCCTAGTTTGGGAATCATCGGCAGTATGCACCCAACAACATGGTTCAGACGCAGGACCTTCCGGTTACAAGGCAAGCTCATATACCATTCAGCCACTGGAACCCAATTCAGTAGCCAGTCCATGAATTCTAACTTCGATGCTCACTAGTGACTTTCTGTAGGATGGAATCTCCTGGAGTTCTAGTGAGAATTCGCGACCAGTGAGGTCCATCCAGATGACAAGTGGGAGAATGGATGTCCCACCTACGACAATGGTTGGAGTCGCGCTGAATCACAAATCGGTAAAAGTTAGAATTCATGCGATGGCCATTGAATCGGCTCCCAGTGGCTGAATGGTACACGAGGTAGCTTGCCTTGTAACCGGAAGTTCCTAGGTTCCAACCCCAGTGCAGTGGATGCGTACTGCGAATGATTGCTTAACTAGGCTGACGAAACAGCTCTGCAGGTTTTCAATGGTTCTCTAAATGATATCCATCCGTGGTCAACTCATAAAAAACAAAATTAACCCTTACAAAAAAAACTATAGAATTATTTATTTATTGTTATTTTTTATAATTTTTCTGGTTGTTTGATTTCAGGTGTCTGGTACCTCAGTCTCTGAGTCAAGATTAGGCAAAACATTTCGTGCACCACGTGGTTCAGTCCTACGTGTAAATAATGCTCTACCATCGCATAATGGTGCTATTATCACATGTACAGCAACAAATGCTCTTGGACAAGCTGAAAGTAGCGCCACACTGACAGTTTACTCAGATGAATCTGGTAAGTAGTATTATTGTTTTATGGCTAAAAGAAGACGTCATTGGGGCAATCATTCTGTTAGTTTTCTTGTATTCTATGAGTTCAAGTGTGATTCAAATATGTGAAGTTTTCACATTATCCTTATAGACAATACCTAACTGCTCATCTTACAGGACTATCAATATATTGTAACTGGAACGTTCAGGAGGGCTGTTCCAAGCAGTCTCCTCGCCACACTAATTATTTTAAAGAGTTAATTTGTAGAGATTTGATTTGTTCCAAGTTGTTGTTTGATCACAGATCGATGTTGGTCAGTTAGAGTAGAAGAACCACTGAAAACCAACGTGGATTACTGGACAGAGCAGTTTCGTCCCAGTTGGGGACTCATCCACGACCCTGACATCAAATCCATGATCATATCTGAAGCAAACTAAATCCCCTACAAGCTAACCCCTCGAAATTAATCTAATGTACCCTAGTGACTGGCAAGAGGATGATTTCAACTTAACATATTCTAGTGAGATGTCGTCACTAGTAGCGTCCACCAACTTGGAGATGTGAGGGGCAAATACTCAGCAATGACACAGATACTGTCTGAAGGTCTCTACATTGGTGACTGAATTCCTGCTTGAATGGTTGATCGTTCAAGTGAAATTGACCCTGTAATCTGAAAGTCCAGAGTTCGACCCCCCCCCTTCCAGCCCAATGTTTTAATCATGTGAATGTATGTAGGTGTGTATTCTGAAAAGTCCAGGATAAGGACGGAACAACTGTTCAGTACTAGCTGATAGCTTCCAATGGTTCTCTGACAGACATCAATTCATGAACAAACCTGAAGTAATGATAGTAATAATAATAATAATTAATATTGATTATTTTTTTTCTTTTGTCATTGTGTTTTCTCTTTCACTCATGATTTCACGCTTCACTACCCATCGTTGTTCAATACGTCATGCATAATATTCATAATGATAGCAACCATAATGATCATTGTTATTATTATTATTACTTTTATAATTATAACTGTTATTACCAGTAGGTGGTATTATCGGTAATTCATGGGTTAATAACATTTCATACTTGAGTGATCTTTCCCCTTCGTAAGCACACATGTGGATATTTCTGTCATTTACTCATGTATATACGAAAGTAGAGACTGAGAGAGATAAAACTATCGTTATTATCATTCCTGGCGAAGTTAAACTCTCGACACCACTAACTACCAATCAGCGAATTATCCAATGAGATTCACGAACGATGTCGAATTATCCAATGAGGTTCACGAACGCAGTTCAATGTTGTATAGCGCCTGATTCATTTCTAATGCGTGACCTTACAAAGCTATTGTTGCAATTCGAGGAGTTTAGTGTTTCCCAGTATTTCCTAGATTTCAGTTGCTCCGGAAAGAACGAATTTGATTGTGTGGTGGTGTCATGACTTTAAAAAGCTAAACCAAATCAACTGATGGGTTTGTTCATCGTTGTGCTATATGTTTGAAGCCTACTAACACTAGAGAGGGTATGCTGATAATTTTAATATTTCGTAGGAACTTTTATCGCTAGGTCGCTTCTCTCCCTAAGGATAGCAGATAGAAAAGCAACTACTCTTATACCTATTGTTACCAGAATTGTTAAGCGGGGGTCAATTATACACACGGGAAGGCTACAATTCGCTGTCATCTCTGGGATATATTCATCGTAGAGACAACCATTCAAGTGATTTTGTGGATCCCGTTACGAGGACACATACAAATTCTATTGAAGGATTTTGGGGCAGGTTGAAAAATAAGATAAGGGCTATGAATGGATCTCATTTATAGTCATTTGGATGAATATATGTACAGGATATGGTGTAACTTCTCCATTGACGATCCCATGCTAAACTGGGAGATTTTTCTCTCACATGTTTGAGAAAGATATCCCATGTAACCTTTTTTATTATCTATTTTATGCTTTTTTCTATAAATATACATTTCCATTCATCATATATGCCTCTTTAATGTGATTGGTCCGTTCGAGGTCGTTTGCTGATTGGTTGTTAGTGGTGTCGAAAGTTTAACTTTGCCTCATTCTTTTAGGCTCCAGATGGAAAATAGGACTTCATCAGTACCACAACTCCATTTAGTCCTGTTCTCTGAAGTAGTCTTTACGTGGCTTCATCACTGTCCATTAGGTTTCACGTCCTCCTACTCCTCGTCTTCAGTCGATCTTCTCCATGTCACAATTTTAGACCCATGCCTACCTAACTCATCGTTTCCCATTCAAATTCTAGTTGATGTCATTCAAAAGTCTTCCCAGTATATGTCCAGTGTCCGTTCCCACTATATTCTTTCAAAATATTTGTTGGATTATGGGTCTCTTGGTTACTTGGTTACCTGCAAGAGTTCCTTATCCCTTGTTCTTTCTGAACAAGCCTCCGGATTCTCGGTATGGAGGTGATACATGTATCAAGTCGGTGAACCTTTAGACGAAGTCTGACTGGCTTTGACAACCTCATCTGTGCCGCCTGTCGTCGGCAATTGTAACGGTGCTGCCTAGATAAACGTGAAAGAAGCGATTTCCTTTAAATTCCTCCACTGATGGTAGTTGATGGATGTTGTTGTCGTATGTTGTTGGGTATCTTCATCACCTCTGGATTTCCTACATTTTCACTGAAATTTCTGTCTGTACTGGTTCTTCTACAAGTGTTTTAGTTTTCACTTGAAAATCTCCGAGTTTATGTTACATTAAACACAAATCTTACACAAAACTTACTTACTTACCTATTTGTTGTTTGATAAAACTGTGCACTGGCCTGTTGGAAATCCTTTTCATGACATACTAGCCATGCTTCTGACCTGTATAGCAGAAGTGACTGACTGACTGACTTCACATTTGTGTTTAACAGAAGCCGAATCCTTTTTCCACATGTTGACTGAGTGCAGTGGATTTCCTGAATGGTTTCACAGTTTGCAGTTTACAGTTTACAATTTATTTAGGATAGTAGGCTATATGCCTGTGTTAATCCTTTCGATTTATTGCATACAGGAGGTCCAATCTCGCCTTGAATGAATCAACCGATGGCGCTGATACGACGTGTTCCGGTAGGGAGTTCCAATGGTTCACAATTCGATGCGAAAAACGGATCTCCAGGCGCAGACGATTCGACCGTGGTTTTTGAACCTTGAGGTGATGTCCTCGCAATTGGTTGGTGCTAGAAGGAAGAAATAATTGAGATAAATTAGCTCCAAAATCATTTCTTAGGATACGGTATGCTAGTATTAGGTCACCCCTAAGTCGTCTGTATGACAGTGGAAATAAACCCAGTCGACTTAACCTCTCCTCATATGACAGGGTTGAGAAAGCCTTTATTAGCTTAGTTCCTACTCTTTGCACCCTTTCTAATAAGTCTATTTCGTATTTGAAACACGGGCTCGCTGCCTGGATCCCATATTCCAAATGAGGTCTGATATAAGTCGGATATAATATACGAAATATATCAGCGTCAAAGTTCGCAAAAGCCTTGCGTATGGCCCATAACATTCTAAAACCCTTAGTGGCTGCAGTTCTACAGTTTGTTGCTGTTTTCAAGTCATGCTGCACAACCACTCCCAAGTCCTTGTACTCAGTGACCACTGGGAGAGTAATGCCATTCATTGAGTAATTGTGCACGTGACTATGGGATACATGCATAACCACACTCTTGCTTAAGTTAATCTCCAAGGCCCAGTGCTTACACCAATCACTTAACAAGTTTAAATCTTCCTGCAAAGCAAGTTGATCACTGTCATCGTGCAAAGCCCTCCATATCTTGATGTCATCAGCAAACAGTAAGCAGGATGACTTAACTACCGATGGAATCTCATTAACATTAATCAGGAAAAGAAGTGGGCCTAGAATTGTACCCTGAGGAACGCCACTCTTAACCGATTCCCATGTTGATAAAACCCTGTTCAGGTTGATGAAAGCAGATGTGTTGCCATTCCGATTCTGGCTGGCTGGTTTTGACATCTTCATACGTTCCAACCCGGCCTGTGGTTGAAGTCGGGCTTCCTAGCCAGATAAGCGGAGGAAGCAGTCTCTTTCAAATCTCTCCCATTGATGGTGGTTGGTGCTGGTCGTTATTGTTGCTGTTGATTGGTTACCTTTATCACTTCCACAGTCTTTTCTATGTTTACCTAGAGTTCTGACTTTTGCTACCGGCCGACCTCTTGAGCCAGTTTGTTGGTATTTGCCTTCAGATCTACTAGCTTATGTGACATTAGACACAGATCATCCATGAGCGAAATCCAGATCTTCTGGAATCTTAGTGATGATCCAGCGTATTCCTGCCTCATTACCCCCTTTCACAGTCTGATGCATAATCCAGTCCACCACAATTAAAAATATCATCGTCTGTGATAATAGACAGGCAGCCAGCTTGTCTTAATCTTGTATTCACTTCAAACGCCTCGCTGTGCTTTACATTGAGAATCACCTAACACATGGCAGGCATCGTCATATAGCCAGGCAGCTATTGAATGAGGTTGATAAAGACTTCTGGGCATAAGGTATGGTAATTCCCTATCTCAATCTACTATACTGAGTGTTGTATCAATAGTATCTGTCAATTAATTATTTTGATATCCAAAGTAAGACCAGATTTGCAGTATAAAATCATGACATCGTCATTCTATTTCACAGGTTCTCCTCATCAGCTGCTGCTGCACACCACTGCCTGATATTACAATGGTTATAAATAGTGATAACATTTCATACTTCATTGTTTGAAAGGTGATAGAGAAAACATTATAAGATGAACGTATCCGGAATATAAGTATTACGATTAGCTTTATTTTAAGTTACCATCAATTTATATGCTATCAAACTATGAAAAAAAAGGAAAAAGGGAGGGTGAGAGAAGACAGAAAACAGAAAAAATCTAATAAGCAGTGTTAGCTTGTACGTCAACATGGCAACTCAAGAGGGTTAATGTTCATTAAATTGAAAACGTGCTTAGTGAACTGAGCTCACTAGTGTGTGTGTATGACAAATCAGTGTATT